AGAAGCTTATGAACAAACATCGCCTGTTAACCAGATTTTTGGTAAGTTACATAATAATAAAGCGGCCGAAGTATTCTCGTCTGCCAGAGCCAAAATCGATAGACCTCTTTTCCTAATTAGGCACGCTCCCCTCGCAATCCCTCTAACTCAACTCAACTAAGTAAGACTTATTTACCTTTGAAATACTCCCGTTCAAATACTGCTGGATGTAAAATTATGGCTACATTATAAATGTTGCCGCGTTGTTTCAACTGAAGCTAAATTTGACTATATGTAGTTAAATAAAAAAAAATTGAGACATTAACCATGTATTTGACACTGTGGCATAGACTATAGTCAAATTTTATAAATGAAACAACGCAGCCATGCTTCTTTGACACTTGCGCGACGAAACTTCGAGTGGCTTTGGTTCGAACGCTAAATTTAGCGCATTTTCGTACAAAAATATCGTCACGCAGGGGTGGGATAAGCAGACACATACCAGAAATTATACATTTAAACAGCAATAAACCTGGAAAAGTTTTTACTTTATGGCAACATGAACGCAGATATAAGTAAATTATTTTTTATGATCACAGGATTATTTCGAACTGAGAACTTTATAGCTGAAGTAGATTATCCGTGCTTTAAAAAGGTTAAATTAAATGTTAATTGCTTCTAACAAACTATGGACATGTTCTCAAAATAAAGGATATTATTTAATTATTTATTTACTTTTTAGAAAACAAACAGTTCATAACAATAATAAAAAAAGTGATTGTGCTTATCACCCATCAATTCGCCCTGGGTCCGGTATCACTGGTACATGTTTTTTTTTTTCACACCAATTAGCCTAGCCCCAAAGTAAGCACTGTAAGGCTTGTGTTATGGGATACAAGGGTAACGGATAGAATACATATACTTTACTTATATAAGTATATTTATATAGAAATACATATTAAACATCCATGACTGGAGTACAAATGCACGTGTTCATCACACAAACATCTGCCCCCACCGGGATTCGAACCCGGGACTTCTCGAGTCGGCGCCGCCATGAAACCCGGCGTACAAACCACTCGGCCACGGAGGTCGTCTTGATTTTGTGAATGGTATTGTTCATTGTTTATCAATGAGTCACCGATGACACTAATAGTAACGCGAAATCGTAACACATTCGCCAGTTTACCCCCACTGTGAAATGAAGTTCTACTTCAAAAATACATTAAAACTTAATCAAAACATAATTCAAAATAACATATCTAAATTCCCGATCGTTCCGGTACATGGGAAAAAAATACTCGAGGTCAAAGGTAAAAAAAATGGGTATTTCCTTATTTTCTTCAAAACGCTAAGTTTTATATTAAAATTATTTTAGACAAAAAATGTAGATCATACAGTTATCTATAAAAATGGTATTAATATTTTTTTTCATAAGAGCCGTTCCTGAGATATAACGATTGTCATAATATGTACGTCACGTATATCTGTAGCTGTAATATTACTTAAAATATTTTTCTATCGGTGATCGTAACTTAGATTAAAAATATACATATGTATAACTTTAAGAATAATGTTCTGAAGCTTTTAAAAAAAGAAATTCAACTCCACAAGTATCGATATGCATGTTTGTTAAAAACACTCGAAATAAAAAAAAAAGTTTTATTTTAATAATATTTTTATTCAATTATTTAAAATATTTCTCTTTAACTAGGTTATTCTTATTCAAATTTCAACGTGTTTAATAATATATAGCAACGTCAGTTGCTGCTCATCAACGTCTTTTTCGGGTATGTATATTACCAACTTCAAGTGTGCCTTGGTTATCAGCTAGACCCAAAAAACTGGGGTTGGAAGTTGGTCGACAATACATTAGAATCAATTCAGACTTTACTCCTACCTGCGCCGGAAAAACTGCTAAACACAATTTTTTGCAACTATAAAATGGGATGGAGTGCTAAATATGGTTGCAAAAAAGTTGGACTGTTTTGTTCTCTGGCATATACGAATTGTCAAGGCCAGTTGTGTTATAATGTGGAATCACCAACAGTAGAGGATTCGTTTTCTACCAACGAAGAGACATAAATGATACTTCGCCACTGATGCAAAGCACTTACACCTAGGATGTAGAATAAGAAGATCAAGGAGAAAAATAACAAGAAGAAGTAATTGAAGATTATGAATCAGACGAATAACTTTTTCTACTGTTTTTTAATTTGCATCGCATTTATCAATTCCAACCCTTGATTAATTTGATAATTTATTATGCAATGCTTTCCAATTAAATAGAATCACAACAGACCTGTGGAATAGGCCTACTGGGGAGACCACGTTAAAAACGCGCTAAGTACACTACCTCAGAGGTGTCGTGAAAACGTGTGCATATTATGGCGTTTACAACTTTGAATCATTATTTCTCAGGAACGGTGGCTCTTAGGACACATAATACAAATACCTCTTTTATAGATAATTTGATGATCTACATTTTTGTCTCAGATAATTTTACGATAAATCTTACCGTTTTGATGAAAATAGCGAAATCCCCTTTTTTTTGGAACAATTGTACTCACTTTGCGCTTGATGGGAATTTATGCACCTTCACTGTAATTTTTCTGTCTAATTTGACTGGTCTATTATATGTATTATATAACTTAGTTTTCGGTTTAATTGTGGGCTTCCTACTAATTGCGGGTTCACTTACTCTTAATGAACGTGGGCACATGAAATAATTATATGGGGTGTGTTTCGCTTTACGTGTATCGGATAGCATTGTATGGGCATTTCCAATTAATTCATATTAAGTATATACACTCAAATAATACCTTCACTGTTCATTTTCATTTTATTAATTTTCGTTTTATTCTTTACTTGTTTAAGAAAAGTTAATATTAACAAATTTTTTGGATCAATAATATAGCTGATTTTCGCCGAGGCAACAACATGTGCGTCATGATTGTCGTATGGCGGCACGAGCGGAAAAAATACGAGATGGCAAAGTCGAAATTCAGGAAGAGCACCACAAAATTTAGAAATTTACCAATTTTCAAAACTCTCGGAAAAATTTCCAGATAAACACTATATTTCTCACCAAATGACTGTACTATATGTCCTTCCCCGGGGCATAAACTATATATAAAATTTCATCTAAATCAGTTCAACGGTTTAACCATTAAGAGATAACAGTCAGGCAGACAAACACACTTTCGCATTCATAATATTAATATGGATTGAAGTGGCATGCAGTGATGCCGCACAGTGTTGTCCCGGCGTTAAACAGCCATTACAATAGTAAGCAATATTAACAATAAATAAAATAAATTATTATTTCAATATTGTCGGTCTATTTTCTTCTTCTTTGACTTCTTTTCTTTCTAAGATTGATTCTTCTTGAAATAAAATGCCCACAAAATACCTAATAATTTAATGAAAGATGATCGGAATAATATTATCACTGCTTTAGTTACCTTTTGAATTGAATATAATATAATTTGACACTGGCAAAAAAAAAAATAGATAAATAAACTTGCCATTTGCCAAAAATGCCTAATTTTAGTGTATAAGAACCTCCTAAAAAAAATGTGACGACCTCCGTGGCCGAGTGGTTTGAACGCCGAGTTTCATGGTGTCGCTGACTCGAGAGGTCCCGGGTTCGAATCCCGGTGGGGGCAGATGCTTGTGTGACGAATACGAGCATTTGTACTCCAGTCATGGATGTTTAATATATATTTCTATATAAATATACTTATTTAAGTACAGTATATGTATTCTATCCGTTACCCTTGCATCCCATAACACAACCCTTATAGTGCTTACTTTGGGGCTAGGCTAATCGGTGTGTGTTAAAAAAAAACACTATATTTCGGTAAAGCGTGATCTGGGGTTTATTTCATTTGACCTACAGTGACTAAAACTAAAATATCAGCAATTCTTTTAAAATTCCGAGTAAATATTGTCTATCATACATATTAAGCAGGAGAAAATATGAAACTCAACCAAATAAACGAAATTGCTTCTCTGAAAGATGTGATCCCGGGAAATTTGCACGTCGGCTTTATTCACGGTTCTTCGATTTCCCATTATATGTGGTCTGGCTTACGGAGCTCGTCTCGGTGATTTATTTATTTATGTCAGATTTACCGTAAAATATTTTTCTTTGATGTGTCAGGAGCGTCTCGTTCTACTTTCCATAGCATAGGTAAAGCCAGGAGCTTAAGTTCGGGACCCATTTCCAAGAAGTGTGCTTTGAACATTAGAACAACAATTATGTCGTAATCTCTAGATATTGATAGAATATTGATTGCTCTTATTTTATTTATTGGGTTTTCCAAGGATAACCTCCTGAAATTGTACTATAATGTATTCTGTGATAGCGCTGAAACGACAAGTGGAAATACTTTTGAGCTCTGATAAAAATCCTTCTTTATAAGGCCCTATTCACTAAAACCACCAGATAATATACTCCTGATAGACTTTTACTGTCTGCACTGGAATTTCACAAAATCAAAAATCATTTATTCAGTCTAGGCTGTTACAAGTACTTGTGAAGGTCAAGAAGCTACGCCATCGGTTCGCAAAACTACGGCGAACTACCTGGTACTGTGAAGAACCGGCAAGAAACTCAGCAAGGGCTGTTTTTTTCTCCCTGTATTGTTATATACAGAATCGTCAAGTTGAAAAATGACTTCAGACATACTTCTAAATTTACCTTCCATTACATCATTTAGCATATAGATATATATGTGTAGTTACAATAAATTTTATAGTTAAGTTTATATTTAGTATATAGGAAGCAGCATCAGATAGGCACCAAATATTACTGTAATGAAAATGAGTAATACCCATCAAATAACAAATTACAAGAAACACCATGTCCATGCATTACGATCATTTAGATACTCATCAACTTTATAATAGCCCTTCTTCATAAGAACAGAAGCTGACACATTCCTTATTTTTCTTGCACTCGCAGTTTACCATGACCAATTAATGTTTACCTAGTAATTCCTTACTATTTGTTACAGGTAATATGAAGCGGCGCCTGGGTCGAGCGCGTGGCTTCGTACTCCGCATGTTTGACGCGCTGTGTAACTGCACGCAGACAGCTGCTGCCGCCGCGCGCACTACGGCGCGCAACAATCCGTTCACTAAACGCTAATTCGATTGTGACTCCATTACGAACCGGTAGTAGGAGCTGCTTTTTTAATTTGAAAGAGAGAACTTGGGTAATACTGAGACGATGAGATAGTTTTTGTTTTTTTCCTAAGCTTAAAGATATCAAGATATTATGCTTAATGCAGTTTTTATATTGATTATTATTGATTTAACAATTTCACAGTGTGCGTAACATCGAATCGAGTTATTAAACACTGTTAAAGTTTTGGATAAAGCTAATATTATGGCGATGAACTCTACAAACATACATAGTTCAAATTCTCTTCTCTACGTTAAAATAAATATATTAAAGTTAAATATGTCCGTCTCAAGGGATTGAACAAAAATACATCAGAATAATCCATCATTCAATTTATATTTAGCAAAATAAAGATGGAAAGACATTCGTTCTTGCTGGCGAGGTTGTTGTACTAGAAATTTGATGAATGTATTTTTTTACATATCGTGATGTGAGAGGTATTTATGCAGGGATAATGGCAAGATAACGGATAAACATGGGAATTAGCGGTTATTGAACCAAAGATCTAAATTAAACGTATTATATAACATAAATTAAGTAAGTATAAATAAAAAAAAATCGATCTAAGATATAGTCACAATTATGTCACAATTCTCATTTGTAGCTTAATAGTTATACATAAGCACATTAAAAAAAAACTACAGGAGATTGTGTTAACAATTTTCGCGCATCATAATTTATATATTAAAACCTCTCAAAAGCTCATCGAAGCTTTTAAATACAGACTTTAAGAAATTAACTGTGTTATATTTATATGAAATTAATAATAACATCGTTTTTCCGGGCAACAGTTCTTTGGGCAGATTTACAGCATATTTTTCAATTTACACCAAACCAACCAATGTATCGAAAAGTTTAAATATTAAACGGACACTATGTTCGTAAATAAATTAGTGTCTTCCTTACTTAAGTATCCTTAAAATACTGGTGTTATGTGATCGATGTGACGACGCTTAATAGTATAAGGTTATGTATTTAGCAATATACTTAGTGGACTTAAATCTGAATGTATGTACTTCGCCTATGTCCAACTGTCAACTTACTCTATGTAAGTATATCGACTAACAAAGAATTTCCATGTTCGAACAATGTAGCTGCTGTCTAATCCGACACGATTCCAATTTTTTGATATCGACAGATCTGATAACTTTGTTTTTAATAAACCTTTGGGCGGTAATATACTGTAATACAATTCTATATATTTTCCTGGGAAATTGACATAATTAAAGATTTTGAGGCATTGTGAATTTACTCCAAATTGAATATTTGATACTAATAAAGATATTTTACAATGGCACACAATTGCAAAATTGCTAACAAGATTTCGGGCTACGCCGTAGCAGAGGATACTACGATTGTAGCATATAGGCAGGCGTGTACCATCCTAGGCCTCATCATCGCTTTCCATCAGGCGATATTGTGGTCAAACGCATTGCCAATTAAGCATTAAAACAAAAAATATAACTCTACTATCGCACCCAATCGTCGTTGTCACACCAATATCTACTATGTGCACTTTTTAGAGATTTCGACTTTTTCATCACGATGACTTGGATTCTTACTAAATTTTTGAATATAAAGACCGCTATACGATTGGCATTATAAAGGTGGTGCTAAAAATATATGCATCAGCCAGAATATGGTCAAATATTTACTGCTTTGTCTTGAAGTTATACAATTTTGCATATAGCAGACATTAGTTTGGCAACGACCAAATTTTGTGCTTGAGGAGTATTGAATATCATTACAAAAGTCATATACTAGCGATGTTTTATTGGGTTTTAGTTAAGTGCTGAATTCTAACCCCTCGTTTACACCAGGGTAGATAGTAAAAATGATACATGAATAAAAAAAAATGTTCACACTTATATACATGTATAAACATGTATTAAACAATACTTGCATCAAACTTGTTGGATAAACAAAATATTTGAAGTAATTAAGTGATTTATACTTGTAAGATACTACTTGTATATGCAGTGTATACGAAAGAAGGTCTATAAAAAGCTACAACAAGTGTTCTGCAAGTTTTGTTTAAAACTAGAATTTGATTTTTTTCTTGGTGGAAACGACGGGTAATGGTTAGGAAAAAAACGACTAGAAAGAACTTTTGACGTGAACGAAATCCTATTTTTAAAACCATCTGGAGCACAATAATATTAATGTATGCATTTATTTCTATAAATTGTTTTTTTCTTTAACTTATGTTGTGATCCTAATTCTTTTGGTACTTAGAATAAGTTAAAGAATTATTAATACAAGATGAGACGAGGCACAGCACATATAATTCAAGGCATCCCATTGTTTGGACAACTTTCCTACCATTATTTAGTTATATTTGTTTTGTCAGTACATACCTAAGCTTTCCATTACTTTAGGATTTTCTTGTCTTTGAACTGTCGAGTGATTTCTCGGAATTGACTTTAAGCTATCCCAATTTGTATCCTGTTTTTTAGAGATTGTGGAAAAGAACGACAGATAGTCACACGTTTCAATGATGTCATATAACATTATTTTTTATATTTCTGTTCTTTAAACAGAAAATAAAAGTAGGTAAAGCGTTTTGATTATTTCATTGTACGGTTAGTTAGGGAATACTTTGTAAGGGAATCGTTGTCTTGGTTCGTTTAAACTAAATTACAGATTATATTCCTATAGCCACGTTCAATAAGCAAGCAAGCACAAAAATACACGCGATCAAAATATATTTTTATTATAATGTCGTAATTTTTTATTAAATTATATTTTACTGCTAAAATTTTATACGTACACTTTTGCTACAAAAGAAATAATATACCTTCTTCATAGTAGTTGCGTAGTATTTTCTAAACTATGTAGTTTATACCCACTTACCATTTAAGTATGTTTGTAATGAGATCTACACGATAAAGAAGATAAAAATTTGAGCTTGGATTCGAATACTTAGGTAGTTATATTGATACACGTTGTACTTGTAGGTATTATGGAATTATATATACATACATACATATTAAACGAAAAATGTAAGAATGTAATAAATGAGAAATTATATTTTCAGTGTCAAAAATGTAAACGATTGGAAAATCTTTAATGTGAATTTGTTGGAAAATTATCTAATAAATGTTCAATGTGATATCCTGCCTATACCTTACCTTTACTTCCGGTGTGATTCAACGTTGTTTTCTCTTTGGGAATAAAGTGGTTTTGTATCATGTGTGTAGCTTAATTTTATCCCAAAAACAATTATTTGATATTTTCTTACATATTATGTGGTTGCTTATTGCGCTTACAAGCATGTGTCTGCACATGCAGAACCGTCCAGTCCAAGTAAGAACTTTGACAGCTCCGTAATCGTATCGAATCGTCAAAGTCTCTATGAAAATTAAGCAGCGCCCCTACCGGACGTAAGAACAAACTGACTCCATGCATACAAAATTTGACGATGATGTTACGATACGATTAAAGGTCTGTCAAAGATCGTACTTGAGCCTTGGGCCTTATATGATTGTTGCAATCCATTCAATTCAATAGCATTCAGTAAGTTCCTTATTATAAGTTTAAGGTGCAGCTAATTATCCCGCCATTCTTACCTACCCGACCTGAACAATACCCATCTCGTGAGGACCCTGACCCTTACTTCGTTCCCACCAGAGAAACAAAACACCACCAAAGGTAGTGTTTTTTTCATGTGGTCATCTGTAAGATGGAGATATTCTATTTGGGTCTCAAAATTACTCGTGGTTTCGAGGATCAGATTACGGTAATAGGAAGAGGCATTGGGTAAGCTTGGGCAGCAGTCGGGGAAAACAACCATGTTCTGAGCTGCAAGAAAATTTCACAATACCTAAAGACCAAGGTTTTCAATCAGTGTGTACTGCCGGTCGGGTATGGGATGGAAACCGACAGAAAAATCTGCTGAGAGACTCCACGCTGCACAACGAGTAACGAGAGACAGATCCTTGGCGTTTCTCTACAACATCATAAGAGAAATGTGTAGATTAGAGAAAGGTCTGATTTAGTATAGGTAGCATCCCCAGGCGGACGATTCAATTTCACTATAACCTCTAAGGATAAGTTTAAGTGGCCCTTAGTTCCTTGTGCAGAAGGAGAAAAGAACAAAGGTTTGTTGTTATTTAAGCGATTCCTGTGGGGGAAAATAGTAGACATAAAAAATTGGTTTGTTGGTTTTATGTAACCACAGTGCAAGTGAAACTTAAAATCATAAATAAATATATATATACACATATATATATCCCAGTCGAGCTTGTTATTATGGTCTGAATTATTTAATAACACTGCCGACGCAGTAGCATATTGGTCATTGCATCCTTCTGGATAGCGGAAGGCACGTGTTCGAGTCCCGTCAGCTGTCTGGTCCGCGTGGATTTTTTTCTAATATTTTGTTTTATATCTAATGAAAATTAAAATGTAATGCGACATGCTAAAATTTAACGAAAATTTAGAGACAATGTAATAAAAGTTTCACTTTAATAAACAGGACAGAATCATTTTAAATTCATAATGTTCATGATTTATGTATTCGTTTCATTTCAGCTAGATACCCAACTAATTTGTTAGTCAATCATCTGATACTATATATACGAAAATACTACCTGCTGAAGGTAAAGTAGTTCTTGAGATTTTTCATTATTACAAAAGCAAACTTTTAGTGGTTTTGTGTTTCTGCCGGTGAGTAAAGTAGATAGTAGAAGATCCGACCCTACAATTAAAAATAGTCTGTCCAGGATTATTTTAGGCAATCCATTTTTAATATATTTTCTAATATACTAAATTCATGATAAAATATGTTTTATTCTATTATCAGCTCGGTGAAGTACCACGTTGGTTCGGATCTTAGACTAATACAACGTGGGAGTAATTCTTTGGTATATTATCGCCATGCGTTAAAGGCAGTGTCAGTAGACCCCTTCCTAACCAGGATATCGATTCTGATAATTTTAAGTAACAGTCGTGTAACATTTGTGTTCAGTAGTTTTGATTTTCGACATAGTTATTTGTTACTAAAAACAAAAATGACAAATATATTTTTTCATCTTAAGCATTTGTTGTTTCGTGTTTTAGTAACAAGAACTGTGTCAAAAAGTGGTACTACTCAATAACAATTAAGATGTGCAACCTTTGGACGCGGGGCAATTACGGAATGGTGGGTGCTAACGAACGACTACAGATGCAACCGACCGGACCAATGGCTTTACGGGCCTTCCGAATCATGGAGGAGATTAAGGAGGACACGACATCACGGAGGACTTTAATCTCGATTAAAGTTTTTGTTCACCCATCCAATAACCGGTCATTGCGAAAGTTGCTAACTATACGATCACAGACCGAACGCACTATCCACCTGCGTCATCGAGCTTTATCCTTGATGAGATAATGTGATACCAGAAACATAATCGAAGAGTTACAGTTATTTTTAGTAAAAATAAAGTATATGTGCTTCATACCACAAACAAAGCACCTTCACAGAAATAATCAGCTGTTCATAGTTGTTTGCAATCTTCTGGGGTTTTCTTTCGTGTTATTGCATTTTGAATCGATGAAGCTCTGGTCACGGAAACCAGTTAGTGGTGCGATTTCTTTATCACACAATCGCTTATAAAAACTCGCGTCAACACAGCATAGCGTCGTTACTCCGGCCAATGAAAAGCTTTATTGCGACCGATACACTATGAAAACCGGTGTGCAGCCAATCGGCTACCGATCTCTTCGTAAATTCCAATCGAGGCGGAAAACTCGCCGCGTTCTATTAACTATCCCCATATAATACCTTTCTGGCACGCTTACGATATAAGAAAATAATACAGATATTATCGCTCACACATACATCGGCTACTGTACCACAAAATAGATAGAACAGAAGGTAATCTTATGTATGTACTCCAATTTTCATACCTACGCTCTGAATGAAACTGGAAGGATGGAAATATGAACCAATAATAATAACTAAAGTACTTAGATATGTCACCTTTAATATTGTTTTGAACTTTCATAGTGAGTAACAAAATAGTTAGTAACTATAATTTTAATATGATTTTCGTATTAGATACAAATTAATAAAAAAAACGACATTTCACCATTTAATATTGAATTCAAACAACCGTCGACTGAACAGTTACAATAACATTATTTGTTGCTCCATTTTTGCACAAAAAAGTTTACAGACGCGTGTCTTAAGCGAATGAAACTCCCGCTCGCACTGGTCCCAAGCGGCCCGAGATATCGTGGCGTGTTCGTGTGCGGTGTCTATGTGTACGCTGCTGAAGCGCACCTTCTATGTAGATAATACCCTCTGTGCTATCTATTTTGTGACTGTACCTACTATGTAAATGACATGCCTTCACGGCTGCCGGACGGGGCTGTTAATTGCGCAGTGATGCGTTAAACATTATGTCGCATGCAACGGGTTGACTTAAATGGATTTACTATGCAGCTATAGGTTTATTAAGAGCTAAATTGACCGTTACAATTGGTCATTTGGGCCTGTGCACTACTACTTAACACATCAAAGACCGCAGTAAGTAGTCACTTAATCGAGTACAAAGAAATTGACTTAGGTACAGACGCGTGCTAAAATTTTGGTCCCAGATGCAGATAGGAGTTGATGATCAAATAATATGATCATCCTTCACTCAGCCTCTACCTATAATTTGTTTGGGGAAACTACTTAGTACGGCTATAAAGGTAAATATTAGCAAGGTTATATGACTTGTTATAGTTCTCAGAGGCGTCTCTAGCTCTTGTGGGGCTCGTGTGCAATCGAAATCAAAGTAAGCGCGCAGTCAAAATGTGATGGTGGCGAGTGATGCTCAGCGTCCCCTGAGGCTGCTGCCTTCCCCATAGGTAAAGCCACCTTTGATAGCTCTCATTTCTAATGTGGAAAATCCCGATGGTCTAACCAACTTGGTAAGTTTTTAGATACTTACTTTAATCAAAACACTAATCCCGATACTTTAATCAAAACACCAATCCATCAACTCAGCCTTTGTATGATTCAGATTCCCAAAACAAGAGCGAGAAATAAACAGTGTAATCGAAGGGTACGGCCAGAGTGCACTCAGATTCAGATTCTGAAAACAAGCGCGAGAAATAAACAGTGTGAGTACGGCCAGAGTGCACTCCTGATTCAGATTCAGAAAAGAAAAAACGAGAAAAAGCAGGCAACCTGCTTAGACTACACTGTTTATTTCTCGCGCTTGTTTTCTGAGTCTGAATCTGAATCTGAGTGCACTCTGGCCGCACCCTTAGAACGCACGAATTCCACAGATTACTACGAATGCAAACTGCATGCACCACAACCACAGAGTAACGAGTTTTATGCCGGCCCTTCACTTGACAACAGTTTGTCCTTTTCATGCTTAATAAGGAATGAAAAGGATAGACTGATGTCATGTTTTAAAATAGCAAATACGATTAGCCAAGTGAAGTGCCGGCATTAGGAAGAAAGAGTGTTTTGTTTGCAGCGCTGCCATAGATTATACACATAAAATGGTATTTATTGTCTCAGATTATTTTTTAACTTAGCTTACTTAACTGGAAGTGTCCGTCACAGTCTAAATACTGATAATTATCGCAAAAAATATACTAAGAATTATCATAAATGCCAAATTGGTGTTGGTTCTTAGGTCAATTTTAACATTATCCTTTGCAAGAGATTATTTAAGGATGCTTTATGAGACGACGTAAAATAAGAAAAATCATTTACTGCCTCTTAGTAGATGGCGGGCAATATAATTGCAAACACGTTGCGGGCTCGAACGTGAATGCTTGCGTTGCCTGACTTGGCATGACGCAGTCTGTCACACATATCTATTTAGATACCTCATACAAAGAATATTTAGCCTATGTTAAGATCTATCGGACCAGACTATAAAATAAAATACTGCTTGAAATATTGACTAATCCGAGGTTGAAATTCCAAATTCACCGCCATCGCGTCGAATTGCCGAAAAAAGGATTGCTTTCTCTTCATCCACAACCTACATTTTGTTGCTGTTCAATCAATATAGATGGCGCTGTAAGTATGCCCAAAATTAGCGAAACGGATATTAGAAAAAATAACTGCTTGCCGGAAACTGTTAGTTTAATGAAAATAAAATTATGTAATAATAAGAAGTTACTTATAATACTAAATTTATTCAAATGACTTTGAGCTTTACATTGATGAACATAAGACTAATAATCTATTGAGATTTTCTTGTTGTGTTGCTGTCTGTATATTCACTTGCTGGAAAAATACAAATTAATAAAAAAGGAAAGTTTATAGATCTCGAATATCAGTAATGAATGAATGAATGATGAAGAAGGGGACACTTGTGCCCGGGCTACACGAGGATAGTTTTTCAAGCTAGGATAGCAAGCTAGTTCTCTACTAAACTGCATGGAACATACATACTAGTTCTGTTTACATGAGGCTAGTTTATTTAAAGCTACTAACTACTATTGTAGTGACAGAGTCGACCACATTTTCATTTGTTATTTTATTGTATAGTGTTGAAATTTATTAAGGGAGGCCCCCTTAGACTAAAATTCATATTACAGCTGTTATAAAAAAAAAATTAAACGCGTTTCCTGCTTCCTATCCAACTGCAAACTAGCTTAGCTGGCCACATAAAGCTAGTACACAAACCATAATAGTAAAACCAGTGGTGGTATTAAAAACTGTCCTGGTTTGTAAAATAGCTTACTAGCTTAGAAATGACGCTAGTTTTGTCTACACGAAACCAGGAGGACTAGCTTGCTAGCTTACTGCTACTAGCTCGCTATCCTAGCTTGAGAAACTAGCCTCGCGTAAATTAAGGCTTAAAAATGAAAACAAATATTGTTTTTGAGGTTTTTTTTTATTTTGATTGATTTAAATTAAAATTCAACTTATTTTCTATGCTTTTTGTAGTTCGGCGACCGATCCCTGTCTCTCTTCTTCTTCTTGCCCTTTCGTTTCTTATCTATATCTCTCTTCTTCTCTGGTGTTCTTTTTCGTTTCTCTCTTTTGGGAGAGTCTGAGTCCGTCTCGGTACTGGTGTAGCGTTTCCTACTCGATTTATGTTTTTTTCTATCTGAATCAGAAAGAGAACTAAAGGAATCACTGCTACTATGCCTCCTCTTTTTCTTTTTCTCTTTCTTAGGTTTTCTAGATCTTCCTTCACTGTCAGAAGAATCTCTTTTGTATTTGTCTCTTCTTTTTAAATCCTGAATTTCATCTGAATCTTTTCTTGAGTTTCTGTCATCTTTTGGATCTCCATTCTTTGTGTCCTTTTTACTGGATGTTGCTTCCCTATTATCTTTAGTAGGGTCATTTCTGGACACTTTTTGAGGTTTCCTTTCAGCTCTTTTGTACTCTTCAAAGGAATCTGCATCTAAAAAGGTACAGAATTTGTAACAATTTTTGTGTAATGTCTTATTAGCAAATCAGAATAAAGGTCCAAGTGTTGTACCTTGTGTTATGGACTTCTCAACGAGTTCCCAAGATAAAAATACAGGATGTCATTGGATAAATCTTCAATACCATCTGTGAAGAGAAATCGAGATGAAAAATTTGTTTTCTGCTATGCAAGTTGCAATACTTGGACAATATTCAGTAAAATATGTAAAAACGTCAATAATTATTATCTCATTAATACATAAGAGAGTAATGAGACTTATAACAATTTACATTTATGGGAGAGTAAATGTATTTTTTTTGTGACCTCAATAATAAATCATGTTACCATTTAGAGATACAAAAGAATAGTATTTGGTGCGGTGGCGAGTTCGACATTTTTATCGAAGACCACAGTGGCCGAGTGGTTTGTACACTGGGTTTCAAGGTGTCGCCTACTCGAGAGGTCCTGGGTTAGAATCCCAGTGCGGGCAGATATTTGTGTGATGAATACTAGCATTTGGATTCCAGTGATGGATTTTAATATGTATTTCTATATAAATATACATATTCTATCCGTTACCCTATATACCATAACACAAGCCTACAGTGCTTACCTTAGGGCTAATTGGCGAGTGTTGAAAATATTTATTTATTTATATTTTATATTAATAATATGAGAAGAGAACTAAGAATTTAAATGCATAACCATTATTAATGCACAACCATTATTAAATGCTTTTACAATTGTATAGGAGCGAGTTGCTGATCATTTTTAATTTCAAGTTAGCTTTACACAATATCATCATCGGCTTATTAGCCCCACTGCTGGGGCACAGGCCTTCCCTATGAATGGAATAAGAAGTTCTGACCAAGACATTACACAGGCCCAGCGCGAAACAGTGGGTAACAAATTCAGATGCAGCTGGGACCAACAGCTTAACATTTCTACCGAAGCACGGAGGAGTTCCAGATGAATTTTCCACCCATCCCACACCTACCCATCCAATGACAGGCCATTGTGAAAGTGTGCCAAATGTGCCAACGATTTGAGCCATTGAGATACTTGCATAATACTATAATATAGATTAATGCATAACCGTGGGTTCAGAGCAATGTTTTAGGGCTATTCTATTTAGCTTATCAATTATATTTTTCTGAGGATCATTACTATTTTTTGATGATCATTTAAATAAAGGGTGTAAAAAATACTATGACAAAGACTAAAACTACGCATTCTGTACACCCAAACAAGTACTATTACAAAATATTATATGTGGGAAAAAGGGGTTTGGGTAAAAGTGGCTTGATTTTCAAAGTCTGCGGCCACGAATGCTTTATTTTTTAATGAATAGACCTAAAAAAATTAAAAATAAAATATTATGGCCATATATCTGTAAAGTACATCGAAGCAAAGATATGATTTTTTTAAAATAGAATTAACGTAAATTCATATCATTAAATCTTACGTGCTTTTTTGTATGAATTGTTGTCTAAAACATACCATTTAAGTTAATAACGGTTTAACAGACCCTTTTTTGTCTGGTTTGACCCCCTCAGCCAATCACATCAGTCTTTGAATATTCCACTTAGGTCTCGTGTATGTGAATTGGTGGGTTCGGGATAGGGAGCTTGGGATCCCCACGGGCAGGGTCATGGGACGGGCGCACACTCGTCCTCTCCTGCCCACTCTTCTTCGGCGGGTGGGAGCGGCCAGGGGATCATCCTCCCGCTCCCTCTCGGCTGCCTCATTCTACGAGAAGACGTTCTTGCTGAAGGAGGCAGCCGCCTTCCATGCCGTCTCGCTACTGAGCATGGCCTCTACCATGCTCCTCAGCGAGAGGGTTCCGCCTCCCAGTGCCGCGATTAGGTCGCAGCGCTGCGGGCGCCACAGTGATGGCACTGCGGCGTTTCTTCCCGGCGGGCGATACGGTACAGGTAGTAACTGAAGCATCCGTGTCCGGTCAGTATCTGCACTATGCGGAAAAGAGGCCGACCTACGCCAGGCGAACCGCCTCCTCTACCGACTTTGCCTTCGCCGCCACCAACGTGTCGTTGGCGAAGCAGACAACCTCCATGCTGGGAAGAATGCTGCCTCGCAACACCCAGTCGTACCCCAGGTTCTAGAGCAGTGGACACAGCACTGACCCCTGGGGTACCCCTGCGGCCATGGCCCGAGAGCATACGCTTCCATCGGGCCACTCGTAGAAGACTGACCTCCCCTGCAGGTAGTCCTCCACGATGGCTCGCAGGTATGGAGGCACGCAGTGAAAATGTAGTGCCTCCATAATACACTCGTGAGGGAGACTGTTCTCTTCTTCTTTCAACGGCGTTTCCGCAACTCGACGTCCTTATGGCGCCTGTTTTGCGTTAGGAGGGTGTATAGCCGGAATCACTCCAGCCAGCCCAGCTTCATCAGAAACGCCCCCAGGGCCTTCACATTTGTGACTGCCTCTTGGAGGTTTCCCGGTGAGCCGAGGTATTTCGCCCGGTATTCGGCCACTCCGTTGCATTCCAGCAGAACGTGAGTAGCTGTTTCTTCTGCCTCCAAGCATCCTCTGCATAGAGGGTTGTCCGTGACACCTATGTTAAAAAGATGTCTGTTAAAATGTGCATGTCCGTTAATAGCACCTGTTACCATGTGCAATGTAGGTTTGCTTAGCTGTAGAAGAGTTTTGGAGAGGACAGCGTTCACCCGTGGCAAAGCGAGCTTGGTCTGCCTGCATGTCTCCAGATCGAGCCAGTGTTGCTGGTGTAATGCGGCTGTGTGCTCGCAGATTTTATTTACGAGACAGCTAACTGGTATCGGGACGATTGGTTCGGGACCTGTTGGGGTCGAATCGGACCCCTTCCGGGCCAGCTCATCCGCAGCGTCGTTACTGCGTGATCCACTGTGTCCCTTTATCCATTGGATAGTAATAGAATTGCTTTACCCTACCGTGTTAAGGGTTTGGTGGCATTCTTGCAGGAGGCTCGATTTGACTAAACAGGCATCTAAAGCTTGTAGGACTGATTTGCTACGCGGCCATTCGGAGACGGGTTCCGCGACCACACCTGCCCTCTCGGCATGCACTAGGAGGACCGCGGTCCTCATAGTGCGTGTCGGGTGACGGTGCAGGAGTATTGTCTGGTTTTTAGTGGCCCTGTTCAGGGCGTAGGTAGGGCCCTGTTCACATCAGCGAGCTCCAGGGCTGGCTGAAGAGGACAGGGAGGAGTCCCACATACCTTCTTCTCGCTCCCCCAGTGGTTGAAGGATGCGTAAGGTATTTTCCAGACACAAAAAAAAGGGACTGATTTGCTTTCGGACAGTATTCGTATTTCCTGTTCTGTTACCTTTCTTGAAAGAATCGCTCTTGCCTCATTCAGCTTGAAAAACTGTGTTGTACGGGCTTAAGGGGAAAGCGATATGTATATTGAGGTCCTCAGAGAAAACACCCGCACCCGTGCCCGATGAGGTTTAAGAGCTGTCGGTGTAGATCATGAGAGCCTTGTATGATACCTTGGTATCGTTGTCATCCAGGAGAAGTATACTGTACTTTTTGTCAAATATGAAGGCAGTTATTCTTTTGGGGAGAAGACTGTTAAAGGCGTTGCGGATGTCTAGCTACACCGCAATAGCAGTCTCTCCCCGACGAGTGGCCGCCTCGGTCCACCCCTTCAAAAGGGCCACCACCTCCACCGTGGACCGGTTTTGCCGGAACCCGAACTGGTGCTCTGCCAGATTTGGGTCCGGCTCCCTCAGGTGCTCGATGATACGCCCCGCCAGAATTCTTTCATAGAACTTCCCAGCGTCATCGAGCACCAATGCTACCGCGGCCCAGGTAGGTACTCAAGTTTTTGATCTGTTTATTTTTTTTTCATTAATGTTAGCTTTTAGAAAGCGTTACCACAATACTAAACATGTATAATAATCTCAGGAGATAATTTAATGAGCTTTTATATCATATGACTTTTGTTAGAATTCATGATCAAATATCTTGGTTCCGATATTAGTTATGGATCTACTTCTTTGCTAAGAACAATTCACATATATAGTACTATCAAACAATCATAATTAGTTCAGTGGCCGCTGAAAAAAAAAATCAAGCCAACCTCCATACAAAATTACCCAATCCCCTTTGTATTTTTAAGTTAAAAAAAAAATTATTTTTTTTCCAGTACGCAATATATAGCGTGGCGCGCTACTGTGGAGCTACGCAAAGAATATCTGCCTATGTGTGTGCGTGTGTGTAAGTGCGTCGATAAAAAAGTTTCTAAATAACGTTTTGGAAATATCAATGTAAAAATTATGAAAAAAAATTTGTGACTTTAAAATTCAATATCTCCATAAGCATAAATTTCCCAGGTAAATAACTGACCGTCATGATGTGGAAAATACGTGACCTTCGACATCGTTAGAGGATTTTTTACACCCTTTCTGTGCACTCCCTTACAAATACAAAAATTATACATAGATAAATAACATACTTATGACTTTTGATTCCTTGTCAAATTCAGCCTTGGTTACTGGTTGCATCATGAATTCGCTCAAACTGACAGTCTCCTTCTTCACTGTGATGTCAACCACGACACGGCCATTGTCTTCATCTAAGCTTACCACCTGTAAAATAAAGGCATTTATGGTATTAAATTCTTCTAATGTCCTCATTTTTATAATATTTTACAGTAAAAGAAGTAATTATATTAATGTTATTAAAACCCTATTATGAATTTAATGATAAATAAATATTTCACTGAATTTCTTCCTATTTCAACAGGACCAAATTTCATTAATTGCTTTGTGTGATTTTGATAGGATCACTGGATGGTGAAGAATCTTAACGCTGATTCTTCATTGGGGTTCCAATATTTAATTATGGCAATAAATGTTCAGTCATAACAATGCATTAGCTGCTAGTCATATAAATGCTAATGATATTTATACTACCTATCTATAAAGAATTCATTAAATACCAATAAAATAATTTCTATGTAAAAATATTTCTTGAACATCAATGAAAAAGTGCATCATAGTATGGTGACATAGATGAATTTATATACTTTAAATAAATAGAGCTTTAACAACACCTTATTACACATTGGCTGTATACATAGAAAAAATATGAAATATAATAATATATATATAATATTGATGAAAGAAGTTCAAATGTCTTGAAGTCTCGCATGCAATTTTTTTATTTTTGTTTTCATTTTAAAGAATCCCATGTAGAATAAACCACAGATATATTAGGAAATTAAAACATAGTAATTTATCGGAAAAAATGCGGTTTTAAATTGTCAGTTTAAATTTTCGCGCGTAAACGGACCTATGGTTCCGATGACGTCACTCCTGTCTGACACTGGTCATACTTGTTCGTCGCTGGCTTTCAATTTTCATACTTTTGCATATTTTTTCGACTTTAAGAGATATTTTTTTGTAAAATTTAAAATGGACTATCCATCAACATCAGGTGATCATAACAATACCACTAATATTCCGAAAAAAAGCCGTGTTGACTCATGTTTTGTGCCAATGTGTCCATCTACTTCAACAAAATTTCCAAATAAATTGTTTTTGACATTTGATTGAATTAATTTAATCGACCCAAAACTGAGAAAAAAGTGGTTTCAAGCTGCGAAGAGAAATGACAATTATTGTCCAAAGACCATTATTCGATGATGTGAAGATTACTTTGACGTAAGTCGGCGAATATATTTGTTATATGCTCATTTAATCTCCTTGTACGTAAAAGCGTGTTAGTAACCTACCTAATACTTACAAAACCTGTCTATAACATATTTTTAATTTAACAGTTGGAGAATGACGTCGAAAATAGGATAAAGTTTAAAATGTGTGGCACACTCTACACATTGGCAGGACTGAACCAAGCTTTGCGTTTCATTTAAAATAACTGTAACACGATAACCTTCTTTAAGTACTTTATGCTCTGGAGTAAGTCGACTTTTTACTGTACATAATTTTCCCTCTCTTTTAATTTGGACATAGCCAATTGAGTTATCGCCGTAAGATTCTCTTGTTGAGCTGAAATAACTGCTATGTGTAGAAGCCGCTGAATAAAATACAAAGTTTAACAACTATGATTTATACATACCGTAGTAATTTCATTTCTACCCTTGAAAACTCTGCACTTTGGAAAAAAAAAGTTACAACCATGTCAAAACTAACTCTTGGTAAATTCCTGGAGTCTGCTTTAAATAAACCAACTTCCATTTTCATCACAAAACGCAATTAATATTCCCATAAAATAATATTCACTTTTACGACCGTAACCTCAAATAAGTTGTCATAACAGGAGTGACGTCACTAAACGCTGATTGGTGTTTTAAAATACGTGTATTGCAAGTAATTTTTAATTCGTAATTATTGTAAAAAACAACAATAAGTAATGTTTTTATTTATTTTTAAGCATTTAACTGCTAGATGTTTAAATCTAAAGAAAAGTTTACTAGAAAAAAATCCACGCGGACCAGGCAGCGGATGGGAGCCTGGTCCGCGTGGATTTTTTTCTAGTAACCTTTTCTTTAGATTTAAACAATAAGTAAAATAAAACGATGCAGTAGCCTTTCTTTTATATTTTTTTAACATTTTAATTATAAAATTTTCATAAATATTATATTTGCATCTTACCTATTGACTGTGTTCATGTAGGACTATGAGTGTAAGAAAAGCCTAGAAAGCACCAGGTGCTTATTATGTGTAATTGGTGAAAATCTATCAACAAATAGAGTGTTTGGACACTGTTGTAAGTTATTGGGCTGGCAACGCAACAGTATGGCTTTCCAATAACTCTTTAGACCCAAACAATGCCAAATATGGAATTATTGAGGTTTGACTATGATTACGATAAACATGATAGTGTTGTTTATACAATTTCAACATACCAATATACATGCTCTAAGAACATTTCAACCTAAACAATTTTAGTGTCATAAAAATAAGTATGTGTCATTCAGAGTTCATACTCACTTTACCATAATAGCCACTGTATTTCCCAGAAGTAATTTTCACATAAGAGTTCTTCACAATTGTAAGCTCTTCTCCTTTTTCAGTGACAGCTGTTTTTTTCTTTTCTGTTACAACTTTATCTGCACCTAAACCCAAACCCTTTGGACGAAGCTGTGGTTGCTTATATGATGATCTGAAAGAAGAAATAATTTCTACAAATAGTGAGAACAGAACTTAATTTAAAGATGTACATACAAAGGTTTCCAAATCAATCTACAATTTAATGCATTGCAGTATTTAAATACAAAGGTTTCCAAATAAATTTAAAATTAAATGGGAGCCATTTTATAAGTTACTTATGCTAAGATGGTTGGATTATTGTCATAAAATTGGAAATGAGCATTACTCATTAGCGAATTGAATGTAGGTACTAACGTTTCTTTACTTGGTGTCCAGCCCATGCCTCGGAGCATTGCCAATCCAAATTTTTGTATTGGAACATCTTCATAGTCTTCTAATGTAGACTGAAACAGATTTAATCAAAAATTAGTTTTAACATTTATGATTTAAAAACTTAAAGCTTGGAGCTGATTGCAAATAAAACTAAAGAAAAAAGCATTTTATGATTTGAGTAAGAAGTAATGGCATATCTGGCATAAATCAAGTATTTATGTCACTCCTATGATAGAGATCTGTATCTGAAGTATCTGCTTTTAAAACATATATGCTGCCTTACCAGAAAAAAGACTAGCAGGCATTCAGCATTTAATAAAATGTCTCAAAAAATTGCCTAATTGATTGTAAACAGTGTTTAAATTATTTGAGGTACAATGCGTTACATTATTATTAAGCAAACAAAAATTGATTATCCTTCTTATAATTCAAAAAAACAATATTAATTGTAATATGCCCAAAACCAATAAATAACTTTTAAAACAATTTTGATTGTTTGCACATAATACAGTATTAAGAGGTAGGGAATAGCAGATTTTATGCTTGAATTGGAGCACCCATCTGGGGAAGAAACTTCTACCTTATAGAAGACCACAGTAAAATAACACTACATTTTGGTGGTGCTGTGTTTATGTCAGTGAGTAAAGGCTCCATGGGGTAGGGGATTGGGTCAGGGAAGGCAACAGCAGTGCAGTGATATATTTGGTATCACAAAAGTTTAAAGGCTGTGGTGGCTATGGTGGCATTAATAAAAAAAAATAAGAAATCTCAATGTCAAACAACACAATGTTCTTTAGGGATTAGGTAGGGTAAAATAATAAAATCTAGAGATTAATAGAAACTCTTTGTGAAAAAAAGTTTACCTCTTTCTTTCCATGGAGCACTGGTTGAGCAGGTATTGGTACTGTCAACTCTTTTGTTTCTAGCTTGATTTCCTTCTTCACATCTTGTAGAAGTTCTCTGACAACCATTTGGTCCAATGTTTCATTTTCAGGTGTCTTCTCTTGCTTAGGGATTTTTTTTTCTTCTGGCTCAGGTTCATTTAGTACACTTTCGACTTCTTCAGCTATTTGTTTCATTCTATCAGCTGTCACTAAAGTGTTTGGCTTCATTGGTATAACTAACGGTGCTTCCTCTTTAATTTCTTCTCCACTGAAGACATACAAATAAGTAATAAGTAGGTACCCCAAACATTACCTACCATAACATCCAAGCAATAAATGCCATGATCTATTAATGAACAAACTTGCAGTAATTTCTTGCTATTTTATTACGCATTAAAATAATTGAAATTAATGTTGCTATTAGCAATTAGCAAAAATCTATACTATAAACGGAACGCTTCGCAGTAGTTAAAGGTTAGAAAATACATACCCAACGACCTTAATCGATTTTTCTTCCATGCATTCTATAAATTCTTTTTTCTCCTCAATAACAGGTTTCTCTATTTTCTTCGTCTTCATAAAACCGAATAATATTTTTTTCCCGTCCATTGTTAATTACAAGATAATTAATTGTGTAGAAAGAAAATGTAGAACAGTTTTTTTTTCCTCTGCTGTACCTACATAATTTATTATTATAATACTATTGTATGAAAGTCTTAAATAGTTGATATAAGCGTAAATCCACCACATATATCATAATAATTTTAAAATAAACTAGGTTGCTAAAAACTAAACATGACAAATCTGAAGTCGCCAATGAATGACCAAGCAAGCACAGCCACAGCACACAACTAGGGATGAACGGTACGAGTAAATACAAGTAACTACTCGATACTTTTCTTTCGATACCAAGTACTTATGGCATCGATACTTTAGAATTGAGTAACAAGTATGTAGTATCGTGAAGTAAATACTTGTAACGGTACTCGGTCGGTCAATTACTGAGCAGTATCAAAAAAACTCATAGGTAGATTATTTACTCTATGGTAAGGTGTCTAGTTGGAATTCTTGCTTCGCGAACGCATCTTTTCTACTGCTCAGTTTGCAACCTTGCGTATGATTTATATTTATTCCAATTTATTCAGTGAGTCATTCGTTCATGGCGTGGCGGGAGCCGTTATTTTGTTTTCGTTATTTTAAAACTGTGACTGAATTTATAATTGTAATATCGTTCGTCAAAATGTATCGCTACAAGTAAGTATCGATACTTTTCATGTGATACCATGTAGGAATGTAACTTAATAACCGATACAGTATCGAGTAAAAGTATCGATACCTAGATGGTATCGTTGCATCCCTACACAAACAACATTTTTTTTAGTTTTTTTTTCTTGGTTAAGTTCTCCCTTTTCAGGGAAGGCAAGGGGAACAATGCCCATACAGCCTAGTCTTAAGTTAAATTATTCTGTTTTTCTTTTTACATTAGAATGTCGGTGTGACGCATTCTAATGTTTCTTGAAGTGTTTGGCACGAAATGTATCGAGCTGGATTTTTCGATAAGCTTCTTCTTCTTTGAGGTAGTAAAATACTACAATAAAATTCTCACGTCCACTTGACCGGAATACAAGGGCGGATCCAGTCATGGGGGTCATGACCCCCCCCTGGGCTGGGTACAGATGGACCAAACCCAGGGGGATTTTATTTAAGTACTTTTAATATTTAACATACCACGACTATATGACCCGCCCTGGAGCCAAAGCTGGCTATATGACCCCCCCCTGGCGCCAAAGCTGGATCTGCCCTTGCCGGAATAGCGTATATTTTGACGATTCTACTAATTCTTCAGTTACGCAGACAGTTGTAACACAAAATCATACCAATTTCATTTCACAATATCCACTATGAACGAATTTAAGAATAATTAAAATAAGACGCCAACCACACTCGATGCAATCGCGCCAAAAAACCTCTTTTTTTTTAGTTCTATTCTTCTCTACTGGGAAAGGCAAAGGCAAAGTCATTCAGCCTTCGTCTTTTTTTGTATTAAACTTCCTTATTTTTACATTAGAATGTGAGTGTGACGCATTCTTATATTTCTTAGAGAGTTTGGGACAAAATGTATGGAGTCAGCTTTCTCGACAAGCTTCTGTGAGGTAGTCAGCACTACAATAAAGTTCTCAGGTCCACTTGACCGGTATAGCGTATATTTTATAATTCTTCAGTTGCGCTTCACGATTCACGATTGTAACACTAAATCACACCAATTTTATTTCACAATATCCACTATGAACTTATATAAAGAATAATAAAACTATGACGCCGACTGCACTCGATGAAATCGCGCCAAAAACTCACAGAACAACAAATCAAGCAACATATTATTTGTATTACTCTATTTATTAAACATATTACTGTGTATTACTGTCGATGTCACTCAAATATTTCGTTAATACAATAGTAAAACTATGACGCCGACTGCACTCGATGAAATCGCGCCAAAAACTCACAGAACAACAAATCAAGCAACATATTATTTGTATTACTCTATTTATTAAACATATTACTGTGTATTACTGTCGATGTCACTCAAATATTTCGTTAATACAATAGTCTATTCCGTTTTACGTTAGTCGTAAATTAAACTAGTCTTTGGAGTTGGACTTGTGCTTCATAATTCTAATAGTGCCAGCGTTAGAGACAAAATAACAAAAAATCGTTGTTTTGAAAAAAAAAATCCTTTGCCCGTCCCAACAGGGACAAATTAAACAAAAAAAAATTTTTTTTAGTCAAAAGTTTTTTTTTAAAACCAGCTTTTCCAAAAGATTTTTCAATTATCTTAAAGCCCTTGGAATTCCGCGTCTTTTGATCGCCGCGTGATATCGCACCTCGCGCCGCGCAAAACTCGCGGCTAAGGGCACTTCTACAGCCTCAACTGTCACCGATATCGAAAAAAGTGTCATGACCTAAAGTGTTCCTTGGTTCAATACCGAGGTCACATTTTCTTCATATTTTTGAAATTCGGCCCCGTTCTCTAAAGTAGAACTTTTTATTAGCTGCAGGAAAATGACGTTTTGTGGGTTACCACTTTTTAAAGAAAAATAAATAGGGATGTAGCTAAGTGAGTAAGTGAATCATTCAATAAATGAATGATCAGTTTGGTTTTGTTTAAGAGATTTATTTTAAGTTGTAATGATTTTTTATTCTATTATTATTACCATAGTAAAGGATTGATCTTTTTCATTGGAAGTATCGGGACGTACATCCAAAATTAAACAAAAAGTCATAACAATGTTATTTATTAATCAAATATTTTCGGAAACACTATCGCTGTCGCTTTCGGTCACACTAATGACAAATCTGTCTGTCATTTCATCAATAATATGATCGAGGTGGCACATTTTGTCTTCCTCTTTTATAGTGTTAGACACACAGTCACTCCACTTAACCGGTGTCACTTTGTTGATTCCTTCTTGGAATAAAGTTTTCACTTCTTGCATTTTATATGTTTTATTAATGTTTGCGACGTGCCCCTTTACCTGAGCCCAAACCAACTCGATGGGGTTCAATTCACAGTGATAAGGGAGCAGTTTTAAAAGTCTGATACCTTTTTATGCAGCAATCTCGTCCACGGCATATTTCTCAGTTATCTATGAGAGTAGCCTTCACTATATTTGGTTCAAATGTAATATTTTTAGTGGTCAGTCACTCTTGAATTTAATTGGTTAAAATTCCACATGGGATGGGAGAAAACATATTATACCTAACGTATCATAAAAAGATTAGTGATGACAGGTAAACTAACCTTTGCGATGGTGGGTACTTCATTTCTATGAAAGAACTGATGCACAATTCGTCTAATAGCGGTGAATGTGAAATCGTGATAGAAATGTATCTCCATCTTGTGATATGCTTAACTGAGGATCAACTCATCATCATCATCATCACGATTAAGAAAAAGTAGGTAACGAAAAACAAACATAACGTAACAAAAATTTAACAATAATGATAACTAAAACAACTCGCAGTGGGCAAAGCTAAGTTATTCGTGCACTCAAAACAGAAGTTAGCCGAATGAGCGAATGACAAATGGCGGACAAGCCTCGTAGCACCGTAACTAAAAACCAGTACCAACTTGAGATTTTATACAGCCTTTTATTTAAATGAATAATAAATAGAATTAAGTATGATCATTATGAGTTAGTTATGGAACGATTAGATTTTCTGTGAACCTAATCACAGCCCTATTGAAATTAGGCGGTCCACATTATTTTACGGAATGATATTTTGAAACGTCATTTTACTGCAGCTAATAAAAAGTCGAAGTATAGATATCGGAAATTTTCTGTGAAAACACACGATTTTTCGGTCGAAAATAGTCGGTTTTTACGATTTTCAAGAAAGTATTTAACATTTCCAAAATATTTTTTTTAAGAAGTAAAATTATATTTATATTTTCGTTTCATTTACAATCCTACAAGGAAATTATCTTGTACTCGAACTATTCTTTTCGATTTGACTATACAGAAAATTGTCCTGGTAACCCTCACCCCCACTAAGTTACTTTCTTAATAAAGAGAAAAAAAACAATTTTCGCAAAAACTTGAGCAGAACCCTTTGAAATACTTTCATGAGCTTTTGTCATGATTAAACAGCTTAGAATTATCATTTTATTTCCATTTTGGTGCAAATCTCGCTATGATTTTCGGTTATAATCAGTGGGCCCGAGATCTACATGGTCGTTTTGCTTCAATAGGCTAGTTGACCCTTTTTGGAAAAAGGTTTTAAATGGTTAATAAATGATCTATTACACCGAAAAAAAATGTATTGTATTTTTTTGAGACCTAGAAAGCTACAAATCTTTAATTTTAAAATAGAATTTTCATGGACATACAAAAACGCTGTCGGCCATTTCAGTCTATAGATTGTCTATGCTATGATGTCAACTGTAGTAAACAAAAACTCGTAAGCACGTAGAAAATAACATTTGAGTTTATAATAAAAAGAACATGATTTCTAATAAATACCACGAAAAATTAAGTAATTATCACTATTGTATTGTACGAGAATATAAAAACACATCCTTGAAGACTCCAGGAATGTTGTGGATTAAAGTGCCGAAAGAAATTAACCTACGCAACTTTATTACACTTATTTATATGTTGTATCAGTTTTATGTTTATTACTACATTGTAATACTAAATGCACTGTACTTACATACTTAGCTGCCTTGTCGTGCAAAAAATTCACCAACCATCAATGCGTCAATTCATTGCAGATTTGTGCTTTATGCTTTCACAAAGCCGGCATCCATAATTAGTTTTGTCAAAAAAAACAGTAAATGGAAACTTTTTTAAAGTTAAAAGTGTTTTAAGATAAATTTATTCAGACTAAAGGATCCACCCACAATAACACGCGAATGACATTTAGTTGTTTACTACAACAAGAGACGTCACAATCATGGCAGATGTGGCAAACAGCGTTTTTAGTGTTCAAAAAATATAGACTAAAAAATATTTTTTAAAAATTAAATTTCTACAGCAATCTTTTCCTTTTTGAAGTGAAATCGATATATTTAGGTTCCTTAGACCAAATACTTTAAGAAATAAACGTTTATTTAATACATTTCGACATGAGTCAACTAGCCTATTGCTATTGCTCTCCCAATTGCATCACATATTTATCAGTAGTAG